CTTCAATTCCCAGAATTCCTGAGCCAGCTTAGCTGTGTCAGCCAAGATTGACTACCCCTGACTTAAAACAATGTTCCTTAAAAGTGATCTTAGGACTCTGGGGGTCCCTCCAAGACCTCCTTTTTGGCCCTTAATCTCAAAATTACTTGCCAGTATGGAAGAGACTTTAAAAATTCTAAAACAATGATACTATTTTCATTGTTTTTATTTGTTAAAAATATAGTTTTTATTAAAATATTTATGGTTTAATATTGTTATTTTTACACGATAATGAAGTAGCCTTCTGAAACCAAATTCAGTAAACAATTATTCTAGGAATGCAACAATTTTAATATGGTGAATAATAACAAATATAACGCACACAAACAAAAGTTCTTTTGGGGTCCTCCATAATTTTAAAACTGGGAAAGGCTCCTGAGAAAACTAGGAAAGGTCCCTTTAGAAATGCTTTCTATTCCCCTTTTCCTTCTGGAGGGGCTTCCTATGTATCATGGTTGTCTAGGTTGCAGCTCTGCCTCCTGTCTCCCACGTCATTCCCACATACCATGACATCACCTGCTGTACCAGCAAATACACCAGGAAACATGTTATTTTGTTTTTTTTTGCAAACACCTACGATGAATGGCCAGAAGATATCCAGGTTAACATCTCCTGATGTTCCACCAAGCTCTCCTGTCCTGCCCTACCAAGAGTCACCAAATGAAGCTCCCACTGAAATCATGATGCTGAAGCTAAGTTTATTCAGTATGGAAAGTGCAGGGATAAAATGGTACTAGGTAACCATTGTCCAAAGGTCAAGTGTTATATGCAGTAGAGATTATCAAAACAGCTGACACTAGACCACATTTCCAGGCTTCAGAGACTCATCCTATCTTGAAGGATTCTACAGAAGGATATGGAATTAGTTATATTCTAGATCGGGGTAGGCAACCAAGATTAATGTTACTGCTGCAGTTTTGCCAGTAACATTAATTTTATTTAGGATGTGAAACTGCAAGATCTGGGAGAGGATTCTCTTGTCTTGCTTGCTCTGAAAGCAGGGGTCTACATAGTGTTTCTCAAACTGCGAAAGCTGATTGGGGAATTCTGGGAGTTAAAGTCCACACATTGTCAAGTGGCCAAGGTTGAGAGACACTGGTCTATGGGATGTGGGCATGTCTCAAAAAAAGGCAAGCTGACATATACAGGCTGGCAATGCAACCTTTATGCCTGTGACATTGACACCAAAGAGGCAGGGCTTGCATTGTGATGCAATTTCTGCCAACCTACTTTCCCAACCTAGCACCTGAAGTAACAGGAAGATTTGACCTTGTTTTATGAAATAAAGGAGATAAACTAACAGAATAACCAAGTAACAGAATTGGAAGGGACTTTGGAGGTCTTCTAGTCTAACCCTCTGCTCAAGCAGAGGACCCTACCATTTCAGACAAGTGGCTGTTTAGTATTTTCTTAAAAGCCTCCAGATGAAGCACCCACAACTTCTAAAGGCAAGTCATTCCAGTAATTGGTTGTTCTCACTGTTACAAAGTTTTTCCTTAGTTCTAGATTGCTTCTCTCCTTAGTTTCCATCCATTGTTTCTTGTCTTGCCTTCCGATACTTTGGAAAATACGTTGACCCCCCCCCCTTTTTTTTTGTGTGGCAGCCCTAGATACTGGAAGACTGCTATGTCACCCCTGGTCCTTCTCTTCACTGGACTAGCCATACCCAATTCCTGCAACTGTTCTTCATATGTTTCCGTCTCCAGGCCCTTAATCGTCTTAGTTGCTCTTCTCTTTCCAGTCTCAGTATCTTTTTTTATAAAGTGGTGACCAATTTCATGTGTGGTCTTACTAAGGTTTTATAAACTGGTACTAATACTTTACATGCTCTTGATTCTATCCCTGTTTACGCAACCAAGGATTGTATTGGCTTTTTTGGCTGCTGCTGCACACTGCTGGCTCTTATTTAAATGATCGTTCACTAGGACTACAAGATCTCTCTCACAGTTACTGCTTTTGAATGAAGTTTCACCTAATCTGTAGAACCTTACTTTTCTCTACATTGAATTTCATTTTGTTGGATAGGCCACAATGTTCAAGTCTGTCAAGATCCATCTGGGGTGTTGGCTATTCCTGCCAGCTTAGTGTTGTCTGCAAATTTGATGAAATCCTATTCCCTCACCTAAATTGTTTATGAAGATGTTGAAGAATACTGGGCCTAAAGCAGAACCTTGGGGTACTCCACTGCTTATTTCCTTCCATGTGGATGTAATTCCATTAATGACTACACACTGAGCGCGGTTTGTTAGCCAGTTACAAATCCATCTGGTGGTGATGCTGTCTATCCCACATTTTTCTAGCTTATCAAGAAGTAGGTGTGGTCTACTTCGTCAAATGCTTTACTGAAATCCAAGTATACTATGTGCACAACATTTTGCTAGTCCACAAAATTTTATATATATAAAAAATTAAATATTTATAGCAAATACTTTATTTCACCTACCGAAGAGGTTGTTCTGCCCATGACCAGATAAACACCACCAAAATGAAATTGATTATAACCCATAAGCAATATGAAAGCACCATTCAATCAGCAAAAACAGGAGCTGGATCCCACCTAAATTCAGTTCAAAATTGCAGCTTAAACTAATGGAAATAAAAATAATCAGACTAACAAGCTACAACCACAATAAAAGAGCCAGTTTGGTCTTGTAGTTAAGGCAACAGGCTAGAAAGCTAGAGACTGTGACTTCTAGTCCTGCCTTAGCCATGAAAACCAGTTGGGTGACCTTGGGCCAATCACTGCCTCTCACCCCAACTTGCCTCACAGGGGCTGTTGTTGGGGGGGAAATAGGAGGATGAAGTATTAGATATGTTCACCACTTTGAGTTGTTTATAAAAATAACAAAGTAATAATAATGCATAAATGTCCCATTATCATTATATGAAGGAAAAGATTAGACGTAATGGTTTTGAGTTAACTAGAATGCCTGAAGAACTTCATTAGATTTCATTAAAAGAAGCAAAGACAAAAGATGAAATGATGGGTGATAGTTGGAAGGCAGAAAGTGAGAAACAGAAAAAAAAAATGCCTAACTAAACAATGTATCTGAGAGAACAGAAAGAGCTGCATTATATTTAGATAATTTAAAAGAGACTTAAATAACATACATATAAACTTAAATGTCTCATCTATAGAAAGTAACTGCTGCGCAGAAACTATTTTAGAAAGCATCAAAATAGGAAAGTGATGAGAGTCACTTAGCACACCCAACAGCGTTTGATCTAAATAAAAGGTTTGCTAGTCTGTAGCAAATAGGGACTTTTGGCATGTCATTCTAAAAAAGTAATTAGAATTTAACAAGAGTTTAATACTATCAAGTTGAAAAAGTACATGAAGAGCAGCCTGTTTTATACCCCTCCTGTTTCTCTACTTTTAATCTTGCACTTTTGCACATTTCCAAATATTGCTGTAAAATTATAAAATCAGAAAAGAAACAAATGGTCATTAGTATCCCTCCAAGTTAGCCAAATGCGGTTAAACATTGTAGCACGCTCAGTATTTTTTTTTTCCTGTTTACCATTAAATGGTATTTTAGGAAACTGGTCCATTGGTACGCTCTTGTTACTGAGGAATAATCCACTCGGGGATTTGTAGATATCAAAAAAAACGTGAGCCAGATGTGAAAAATCAACACTTCTTTGAAATGTAGCCACCCTGCAGGGGGCAATTCTGTGGGCTTTCATGTTACTGGCTTGTCCTATTCAGTAATAACACAAAGGCTGCTGCTATTTTTATGTTTTTTCTTCACGCTGGGGTCTCAGCCCAACCATTTCCTCTGCAGCTCCCCCATTTCTTTTCTTTACTGCATTTGCATTCTTTTAGCACCCCAGACCCATTACATTTGTCTTCTTTCAGTTGAATTACTTTTAACCTGTTGCAATCATACCTTCCTGCATTTATCCTTACAAGTCCTCCCGTATTTCTCTTTCCATTTCTTTGAGATGTTGTAGATGTTCCCAGTTGCAATGTATGGCTGTGAAAGTTGGACCATAAGAAAGGCTGAGCGACAAAGAATTGAGGCCTTTGAACTATGGTGCTGGAGAAGACTCCTGCAAGTCCCCTGGACTGCAAGGCGATCAAACCGGTCAGTCCTAGAGGAGATCAACCCTGACTGCTCTGTAGAAGGCCAGATCCTGAAGTTGAAACTCAAATACTTTGGCCACCTAATGAGAAGGAAGGACTCGCTGGAGAAGAGCCTAATGCTGGGAAAGATCGAGGGCAATAGAAGAAGGGGACGACAGAGAATGAGGTGGCTGGATGGAGTCACTGAAGCAGTAGGCGTGAGCTTAAATGGACTCCGGAAGATGGTAGAGGACAGGAAGGCCTGGAGGAACGTTGTTCATGGAGTCGCGATAGGTCGGATATGACTCGCAACTAACAACATCATTATCAACACTCTTTCCCCTTTTCAAGATAACCGTTTTGAAACGTGTATGATTCATAACATGTTAAAGAGTTGGAGTTTTCCCTGAAGATCATTTTTTGAGCTGGCCAAAAGGAACCCCCCAAAAAAGGTTTGCCCAACAGGTACAGGATGAGTATGTGAGCATAACACTGTATATCAGCCTTGTAGAGTGGAAACCCTCTTTCCCCCTGCATGTTTGGTCAGCATGGGTAAAAGTTCTAGATGCACTGAGCTAGCCCTTAGTGAACCTTGCTAGCCAACTCTTCAGTGAGAAAGGAAGTTTTGTCCCAGCTGAAAGTGCCTGCAGGAACACCACAGAATACCTGACCTTCCAATGTCGTCTTTCAATACAGACACTCTGTACAAGGTGATTGCACAAACTTTGCAACACTTTGCTGCAAGATGACACTCACAGAAACCTTGTGGATAATGGAGAAAATGTCACCACATTTCATGTGATCTGCAATGACTTTTTCGATCTTGACATTGTGTTGCATCACTATTTAAAGTTTGCTTTCTAGACTAAGTAGGTAATAATGTAAACATTATCCGTTTGATTGGGAATGGGAAGTGTTTATTCAAAATGCTTTCACAATCAATGGTCAGTATTTGATGTCAAGGAGCCCAAACAGAATAATTTGAGACATTTAAGGCTTCTGCCAAGAAGCTACCTTTTAAGCTACCAACCAACAACCTGATGTCAATCTGGCAGCTTCTTAATTATAGCACCTATTTGACTTCTGATTCCAAGTTTTATGTTAAGTTATTCCTTTCATGCCGAGTAAACTCAAAATACTTGTACCCAAGTATACTCTTCCATACCACATTATGTCGTTAGCATAACAAAAATGCTGGGTTACAACTTAAATTTAGGTATTTGATGACTTGTGTGAAATGCATATAATACCTTCATTGGAAGACAGTTTTAAGAAATTAACACTGGGAAGGTAAATAGCCAATTTAATGAAAGCCAATATAAAACTAGTAGCAATTTTTCCAAATAAAGCATTAGACTGACATCTACTGGCCTGGTGTGTATTAGTCAATTGTACATTCTCATAATTTTTTTAAAAAGTTGCTAGTATATTAATGTAGGGATAGAACATTTCAAGGATTACAAAATATGCATAATAAAACAAATATGTTTTTATATAAACCCCAATTCATCAATGTTCTATAATTTCCTTATTCTTTTCCTCAATTACTGTGCATCAAAACAGTAGTAAGAACTTCCAAGAAAAACTCACAAATCAAAGGGAAAAAACTCTGACAAAAATTCAAGAATGTATTTAAAAATCTTTACTGGCAAAATTAAGCAGCATGCTATGATTTATATACCCGATTTTTTTTTAATTTAAAAAACCTAAATAGTCTGAAATAAAATCTAAGAATGGCATCTCTATAAATAATGAAAAATGTTTGCACTAAATTTTAAAAGGAAACTTTTGGTAATTAAATACTTGCTATTTTCCATGAAGTTGATGAACTTTATTAGCATTCAAACTATAACCAAGTTTACCCTAAAACATTTTGCAATGCAAAATTATTTTCACTCAAGGAGTGTCTAACAAATCGAGGGCTGTGAAATTACAAGCAATCTTTTGAAGCAGGCTCACACATTTATAAAACTTTATACAACCTTGCTTGGACTAAAGTATTTATACTACTAAATTAAACATGCATCACTTTCATACACTCCAGTTTCATGATTTATATTACATTATGTAACATTCTTTTTTCCCCCAGCAAGCAGCATGTTTTGTCATACATTTGCTCCATTTTCTTTGGATGTTTGATCTTTATCTTCGTTCTTCACACTATCCTACGGAAAGAGAAGACAGTGAGTCAGTGACAAGCTGCTATAACCAAATTAAGACATTCTTGCTTTTCCTATTTTCAGGGAATTTTGCAGAAGAGTTACAGAGAGCTTTACCTTTTTAAGAACCGTGTGTATTTCATCCATAACGGTTGCCAAACCTTTGATGGTCTTAGTCAGCTGCCCTTCAAACTGCAGATTTGTATCTTCTGAGATCTTCAGGTTCTCTTGCAGCTGGCTGAGCTCTTTTTTAACCTCTTTAATTTCTGTAGAGAGGTTTTTGTTTGAATTCTCCAAATTCAGTATGGTCTTTTCATCGTCATCTGCAAAAATGGAATGATTTGTAATCTTTCAAACTGCAACTTTCTATAAGAAGTTAAAATGATTACAGAAGGAGTAAAATATTAGGCTGATACCTTAGTCTGTAAAACAGAGCTAGTAAGGTTTTTTTTAGGACATGCAGTGCTTTAGAGCAGGGCTTTTCAACCAGTGGTACGGGTACCACCTGTGGTACATGGGCACCTGGCAGGTGGTACGCGACCATCTTAGAAAAGTGGTAGCAGGGGAGGGGAATGAGCTGAACCGGTGACAGCACCGCACAAGCCTGAGCAAGAGATGGCTGGAGCTGCAGGGCTGTCAGGGCTCAGCGGAAGCGCCAGGATCAGCGCCAGGCTCCAGCTGGAGCTCAGCACTGATCCTGGTGCTTCCGCTGAGCCCAGAAGAAGCGCCGATCAGCTGGAGTGTTGCAGCATCTCCAGGGTCTTGTGATTTACATTCAGATGCTTGGCAACTGATTCATATTTATGACGGTCACAATGTCATGTGAAGTGACCAAAACCTGCTGCAACCACCCAGCAGACGGGGGGAATAAAAACCAAACACACCCCACCCCACCCCCGCTGCCAATCCTCAACAGAAATGCTCACAACAATGAAAACCTCGGACAGGAGGAAGAGCGCCGCCGGGCGGGCAGGCAGGTGTCTTGCTCGGCTGTGGCTTGGGAAGCACTTTTTTCAGTGCCATTGTAACTTCGAACAGTTAGTAAGCGAACTGTTGTAAGTCGAGGACTACCTGTACTTTATCACTTTTTTCCTTTTTGGGTCGAGTTTTTGACACCTTGCTAGGCAACTGGTGGTACTCGGATGTTGCCATATCCTAAAAGTGGTACAATGGGTGAAAAGGTTGAAAAGCCCTGCATTAGAGTCAGTGTTGACTTCTGGAACTGCCTGGATTAGTTGCTGTAGTTTTTCTGACAAGACCTCAGAAGTTGTTTGCCCTTGCCTCCTTCCTAGGATTGAGAGGGAGGGACTGGTCCAAAGTCACTTAGTTGGCTTTCTGCCTAAAGTAGGATCAGAAGACCGAGTCTCTCTGGTTTCTAAGCTGATATCTTAACCTCTAAACCAGAGGTCTTTAAACTGGGCCCTTTTATGACTTGTGGACTTCAACTCCCAGAATTCCTCAGCCAGACACGCTGGCTGAGGAATTCTGGGAGTTGAAGTCCACAAGTCATAAAAGGGCCAAGCTTGAAGATTCCCTGCTCTAAACCAAACTGGTTCTAACGACTTTACTATCATTATGTCCTTTTTAGTTAAAATAATGAGGCAAGACTATGCAAAGCAATTAATCTGACTCGGAAAGTGAAAGTCCATTTGTGAATTGGCATACACATCAGAAGTACAGTTATGCATTTAAAAAATATTATACCTGTGTATTATGCTTTCTTCGCTTATAACAGGAAAAAAATGTAACAGCTATTCCTTGCTTGCATCTAATGATATGACAGCTAGCAGAAGCAGTTCTCTCCTTTCCCCAGCCCAACCCAACCTTCAATTACTTGAAAAATTGTCACGCATTCTTCTTCCAGTCTGGTGCCAATTCTTTTGGAGATACAATGCCTTAAGCCTTTTTGAATTAATAAAAAATTATTCATTCTCACCTGTTTTTTCTTCCAGTGACTGAAGTTTCTGTTCCATTTCAGCTCGTGCTTTTTCACTCTTCTCTAATTTCTGCAAGAGACTCCCCACATCCACCATGGCTCCATTATAAACAATGAGACCAACATTTTCTTCTGATGTTTTGGATTCTTGTTTTACCGCAGGTGACGGTAGAAGCAGCCTGTTTCCTATAGGAGTTAAGAATTATCATTATTACAATGTACAAAATCAAAAGTTTTATTTCCAACAAGTGCAATAAAATGTTTTTAGCCTCCAACCGATTCGGTTTTATGTACTTATTTTTTTCCTTACTAAAAAAACATGTATTACTGATATTTTAGTTTATTATTCTTTTATTGATACAAATCTATTATTGATTTGTATAGTCAAATATCTGGAAGCTTAATGCCTGTTGTTCACCCAAAATAAACAGAAAAATCTTTATTACTATTAATTGCTATCAATAGTCCTGAGAAGTTATGTTTATTTCCTAATTTTTTTAGTTTGTTTTTAATTTTTTAATATCACACTTTTTCTCAACATTTTTAAAACATTACAAATGAGTAAAACATTTCACAACTAATGTCCTTTCAATTTATGAAATAACCATGAACTTCTGAACCACGAAACTAGAAGCATAACTTAACAGCAATAGAGACAGTGATAACTATCACACAAAAAATCTAAATTAGTATGCTGAAGGTATTCCAGATTTGAAATATCTTGATTAATAAAAAAAATACGCTACCAAACATTTCTTCCTGTGGACTTTCTATTTCTTCTGGATTTTCTTCATCTTTAGAAGTATCCGTCAGTTTTCTATAAAAGCAAGATTCACGAAGTACTACTTTATTAAGTAGTTTCTTAACCTAAGGTTAACACAAGAAGACAGATAATTATGTTGAATACCTAAATTATGTCTTATTCAATTAAGATATTGTAGAATAGATGGAAACAAGCAATTCACACAATTTTTAACTTGAAATAAATGGCTTTATTTTTTACACGAAATATTTTTCTCATAAGACTGGTCTTCAACAAGACCATAGAAGAGTGTTCACTTAATGACCTTAATTGGGACTGGCAATTCTACCACTGAGTGAAACGGTCATTAAATGGGAAACCACATGACCACAATTCTGCTTTTGGGCTGGAAAGAGACTAGTTTCATTCCTTTTGAGTTTTGTCTCCTAACCACTCCCCACTCCTTATGAATGCTTGAGTGCCTGCTTACTGTCTTGTACACATTGAAAACAATGTGATCATGCTGTAGTGTGGGAGCCATAAGCATTCTAATTAAGCACCTTACTGTACTCTCTTTCTTCTCTACTTGTGGGCAGGAAAAAAAAAAGCAAGTGATTTCTGTAGGCAATTTCTCCTTTGAATGATCCTTTCCTGCTGCTGGAGTGATCACATTGCTTTCAATGCACAGAAGAGCAAACAGCTTACTCTGTTGCAATCCCTTTCTCATCAAACAATCTGTTTGGCGGGGTGGGGTAGGGACCACTGGTCAGACACAGGGTAATGCATATTGATTGTAATGGTGATCATGTGACTGAGGGACACTACAAAAGTCATAAATGGGCTACAAAGTTTTTTTTTTTTTTAACAGTCACAATGGTTGCTGATGGTGAGAAAGCAAAGGCTACAATAACACACCTGAGCTCTTGAGAGATGTAATCCAAGCGTGTACAAGATCTCTTCCAAATCTTTTTCAAGAAGATATGCGCAATGGCATTGATCAAAATAAACAAATGCCATCAGAAGATCGCGATTAATAGTTATCATCTGGGTCTTGTTTCTTTCCTACAAAAGTCAGATTATAACCGTTTTTTTGTGAATACATTTGTTTACTGCATTAGTTTATAATAGGAAATCTTAACTACAATATTATAATACTTACTATTACAGAGCTAAACAATGAAAAATATCCACCTATTATAGCAAAAAATTAATTGAATTCAAGCAGGAATTCTTTTCTAATATACAATGTATTACACAGCAAGGCAAACTATTTAGAATGTAGTTTTTTTAAGAAAATAACTTTTATTTAGAAAATAATGAAAACCATCCAAATAGAAATTAATCCAAAATCATGTAAAGTTATTTAACTAGCAAATTAGCAGCTGGGGAAAAAAGGAGAGGAGGAGCTACAACAACCCTTTTTTCCCCCTTTAATTGTTTTTTTTGGGGGGGGGACTTTCTTAAATATCCTTTCATAATCTTCATACTTTCCTTTCGATCTTCACTCTAGAGTTTATTCTATGTATGTATATGTATTCCTTTCCATTTTGTTTTACTGTTTGTTTTACCAAGTAAAAAATAAAACCAGAAAAAAGTGACAGCCCAAAATGTCACAATTCTTGCCTGCCAACTAAAGGAAAATAGCATTAGTAATTAAACTAATTACTTCCTGAAAACAAATTATAACACTAATTACGGGACAGAATTATTTGCATGCCATTCATTCCATGTGAATGGAAATGTGTTTTCATTTTAAACACAAATTTTAAGTTAAACAGAATTGAAGCATCTTCCTTAGTGAAATAGCAACGTGGGGCCTTTCCATCTATGTACCAACATAAATATCATATAAGACAACCAAGCACTCTCCTATCCCTAGTGCAAATCTGACATTAATGAGTCCAGATAATCAATGTTTTCCAGATGCTTCTAGATTTGTGGGTTAATCAGCCAAATGGAGTAAGGCATCCTTCAGAAACCTTATCCATATCCTTGAAATCTGCAAGTTGAAAGGAATCCAAAACAGGACAAAATTACATCACTACAGCCTCACCATTCTAGAACCAAAATTGGGGATAAAGTGGACTGGGAATAGAATAATAAAAAAATAATGCAATCTAATAATGGGGTTATATCTACCTGCAGTATTTTGGTGAAAGGAAACAGTATTAAGAAATGAAACAGTATTAAGCCTGATGGAGCAAATACTTTCTAATGGTTAAGGTGCTTGCATAGTCCTGCCTTAGGCATGAAAACTGGCTGGGTGACCTTGGGCCAGTCACTCTCAGCCCAATCCACCTCACAGGATTGTTGTTGTGGAGAAAATAGGAGAAGAAAGGAGTATTAAGTACATTCATCATCTTCAGTTATTTGTAAACAATAATAACCATAAAAATCAAATAAATAAAAAATATACCTTATCTTTAGAAGCCTTATCTTTGCAATGTCGATTTCCTTCCCTTCTGTCATCTCGTCTATTCATTTCCTCATCATCCCTATCTATAAAACAGATAATAGTTTTTAGCATACTCAAAATATTTTATGCTATCAATATATATATATATATGAAAAATTGTGGAAATCAGTACAAAAAGACTTATCAATGTGGAAAAAACTTCATTTTTCCTTGCTGGGTCGTATTGCGGCCATTAAAATGAACATTTTACCTAAGTTTCTTTTTTTATTCCAGACGATACCTATTCTAAAAAATGAACTTAACCTGAAAGAATGGCAGAGAGACTTGAATCGCTTTATTTGGGAAG